GTCCTAACACAAAGATGTCTAGATGTTGACCAAGAGGTACTACACGTTTGTTTTATAGACTTTGAAAAGATCTTTGACAATGTACGCCACATTAAACTCATACCTGGAAGGAATCCTGGAGGGCAAGAACATCGACACCAGAGACATACAAATAATATTAACGAGCTACTATAAAAATAGACCAAACAGCGGACGAAATAGAAAAACGTAGAGGAGTATAACAGGGTTGTATATTGTCACCGTCTTGTTTAATATCTACAGCGAACAAATATGCCAAGAACCTCTCACATGCAAACGAAGGGATAATAGTCAATGGAGAAATTATCAGTAACATTGGATATGGTGACGATACTGTGATAATGGCAAGAACAGCGGAAGATCTACAACATCTAGTTGAAAGTATGAATGAGATATGTAATAACTACATCATAAGGATGACTACAGTCAAAAAATCAAATATATGACCTTCAGTAAGAATACAATACATGACACTAGTATCGCAATAAACGGTACCCAACTCGAAAAAGTAAGCGAATACAAATACTTGGGAACCCTTATCAATGAAACAGGTGACCAAAAGCACGAGATAAAAAACGTATTGAAATTGCTGTGGTTTGGCTGTACCACTAACGAATTATTCAAAACAGCAGTAAATAAAATTAGAATCGCCCTAATGATATCCAATCTGCAATAGGAGAGGCACTCAAAGAATAAAATGGGCTTGCTGCAAGAGTGAAAAATACACAGAACGCGTTTTGTGCTAGTGGCATTTGTCCTATAGCTGAAAATGTTTTAAAGAAACTGATTTTTCAGTTTTAATGATATTTACAGTTCAACAAACTTTAACCATGAATTCCAACAAAAAACAACCTCTTCTGAAGAAGATAATATTCCATTGGCAGAAGGAACTAGGATGGCATCATTTTCCCTAAATACTATTTCAGTTTAGGATATATCTAGCATGCAGTAGAATTGACTAGTTCCTCGTTCCTCCAAAAAAGCATGAGCTAAGGCATCTAAATTAAAATCGGTTAAAACTACTTTTTAAACTACTTCACTGAGTGATTGCCGGTATAAGCAATCTTTAACTAACTGAAGGCAACGAGAAACCACTATTATTAAACATCATCAGATTTCCCTAAAACAATAAACGTGCAAAGTACGTTCAATGACATGGCCCTTAGTCCGTGGGGAACCTTTAATGGTCGAGGGGTACTAAGGATCTCAGGAAGGAGGAGCTACCCAAATGTGGCAACTAACTATATAGAGAACAAATCCTTTTTAAATTTCGGGACATGGAATGTGAGGAGTTTGTTCGAACAAAGAAAGACACACAACACGGTTCAGGAAATAAACAGACTAAACCTAGAAATATTAGGCATAAGCGAAATGCGCTGGCCGGGTCCCGATAAATCATTGGTCATGGATAAAACGATATACTACTCCGGAAATGACACCCGAGATCAAATATATGGAGTTGGAATAATTATCTCCATGAGAATCCAATCAGCCGTTGTAAATTTTGTTCCCTTTTCGGATAGAATGCTATTATTACAAATACAGGGTAAGACAGTAAACAATGATGTAGTGCAAGTGTATGATCTAACCGCAGATAAATCAGAAGCTCAATGTGAACGTTATGTGAAGCAAAATCAAAGATTCTGTTATAAAAACATAAAAAGAAACTCTACAAAAAAAAACAGAAAGCCGGAAACCTTGGGTAACTCAAGAAATACTGGAAATTATGGAACAAAGAAGAAAATATAGAAACAAAAACCCAAACAAGTACAAAGAAAAACATAAATTAATAAGAAACAAATTAAAAGAAGCTAAGGAAAAGTGCTAATACAGTAATAATTACGGATAACAACAATGATTTACAGAACCTAATGCAACGCCTTAATGAACACTGTCATGAGTACGGACTGAAGATAAATTTAAAGAAAACTAAATGCATGATCATGACTAAATCTGCACATGCAAATATCCAATTGACTATTGAAGATACTGCAATTGAGAATGTTAATAACTATAAATATTTAGGAACATGGATAACATCAGATGTAGACCAAACCAAAGAAATTAAGACACGTATTGAAATAGCACGTACATCATTTATTAAACTTAAAAAGTTTCTTTGTTGTCGGGATATAAGGTTAGAACTACGCCTGAGAATGCTTCGATGTTACGTGTTCTCTACTCTTCTTTATGGTCTGGAAGCTTGGACACTAAAACAAGTTCATCTGAATAAGCTGGCCGCCTTTGAATTTTGGTGTTACAGAAGAATCCTACGAATATCATGGATTCAAAGAATGTCAAACATGGAAGTAAGTAGAAGGATAGGAAATGAGGCGGAAATAATATTAACTATTAAAAGACGAAAACTTGAGTACTTGGGACATGTGATGAGAGGGCAAAAATACGCATTATTACAACTTATTATGCAGGGCAAAATCCGAGGAAAGCGAAATGTGGGAAGACGAAGAATATCCTGGCTTAAGAACTTAAGGGAATGGTTTGAATGCAGTAGTGCAGAACTTTTTAGAGCGGCAGTCAACAGAGTCCGCATAGCCATGATGATTTCCAACCTTCGATAGAAGATGAAACTTAAAGTAGAAGAAGAAGGAAAAGTGGATGATAAAAACAGGCATCCAAGTTTCGATGCATGTTTTTATCATCCACTACGAACTACCTATCTATCATTTGTGATATTTTGGAATATAAATAGTATTTAGTAAATGATTTTTATGATAAAATTTTAAAATATTTATGAACATGTATAATACAATAGATATTTAAAAAGTGGACCAAATTAGAAAACCTTACACTATATTGGTCTACTGTACCTTTACATTATTTGCTTTAGCCTTTCCCTTGGAGGGAATAATATACGACTCCAATTCTGTACCCATAACCCTGTGCTTTGTGGCGTCATATGCTTTCCTTTTCTTCTTACCCGTTTTGGAACAAACTTCTTCGTGCTTTTGAACTCGATCCTCAGCGAATCTTCTGCCACAATAATTACATTCGGTGAGATCGTCTCGAGTTACTACCGAGCGAGGACTTTGCTGTTTAGCGGAAGGGCGAGATGATGACGGTGCCTTTTGTAGGGATTTAGACTATAAAACATATTTTGTTAGTACAAAAACAACTTTTCATGTTCAAAATAAAATAACTAATATAATACAGGGTGTGTTTTTTAATGTAAAATCGGTCGATAATTCAATTATGGTATAGAATATTCAAAAAACTTATTAAGAAAAAATATAAACAATGATATTCTTCATACGTAAAACATATCTGAGATTTTACAGGGTGATTAACAACTACGTGGTATAGCAAACATACAATTTTTTAACAAAGCAGCGACGACAAGGATTATAATGGAGAAGAAACGGAAGAAGAAAATTCCATTGAAAATAGCAACCAGTGTGAGATTCCTAACGTCAACAGCCTGAATGAAACTGGAAGTCACAATTCAAGAAAACGTAGTTATTTGAGAAGAAAAACTGGCCTCAGCTATGTAGGTTACAAAAGAATGCGTGAGGAAAAAGTGTCTCGTAATACTACTAGAAATCCAAGAAAAATTAAAGAATGCTGCATTCATAACATTACCGGTGAAAATCAGAAAAGCAAGTACATTAAGAAAATTTTTTGATAATCAGAGAAAAATTTTTAACAATTTTGGAAAATCAATGCATGAGGGGAAAAACAGGCTTACGTGAAAGGCCTTATAGTTACTAGAGATATTAAACCAAGAAGGAAACAGGTCGATAATAAAACAAAGAAGAATGTAGGTCATGACATTGATTTGCAAAGCAACGATGGCCAAAAAGTCAAAGTTAACAGAATGTTTTTATTGAATAGCCTGATTTGGGCCGTTGTACGTTAAATAGATGGAATCAGATTTCTAGTGTATTTCCCATGATCACGAATGACAACCTGGAAGACTTAGAAGATGAACTTAATCAGATAGATCTAAAATCTAATCAACGAAAGAAAAAATCTATTGTACATGACAAGATTCGAGAATGGCTAAGTTTTTTACCAAAAGTTCCCAGCGATTACTGCAGGACCTGCTCTACAATAACTTGCGTAAAGCATACTTTTAGGTCTATATACCATATGTACTTTGTTTATGAAGAATTGTGCAAAGAGAACGAATTGAAGCCTGGGTCTAGAAAGCTTTTCACTGGTGTTTTGAAAGAGGAAAACAGCTCAATTCATAAGCCCATGAAAGATCAGTGCTGCGGGGAAAAGCTAGGTCTTATATATGAAAATACATTTCAAAACCATATTAAAATGAAAGATGAAGCTAGAGTTTCCAAGCACGAAGCTGAAGAAAGTGCTAGTCATTAGAAACTGGTGCTCGCGATAGATATCCAGAGTGTACTTGTCAGTCCAAAAACTCTATCTAAGTTGTACTATAAGCAAAAGTTACAAATCCATAATTAAGTGATACTGCAAAATCTAGAAATATTATTATTGAGCAATTATACCTGGAAAAAGGCATACTATGAAGCATGCGGATTCTGTTTATTCCAGTCTTGAATCTTACTTTTAGCCTCCCATTAACTCTCCAGCGGATTACATATCTCCCATGACAGTAGCAAGGCCAAAGAATTCATACCATGTTATTCCGTTGGACTATACTTTTTTCTTCAATTATAAAGTACACTACCCTTACTAAGACCCGGTAAAAAGGTAGGAGACCCTATTGTCACCGATATTCGTGGTCTAAAATACTTGCCTAATGGAGAGATACAGTTTTGACTCTGCCATAATGAATCATGGGATCGCTTATCTCATAGACAAAAATGTGGCAAACAAAATCCAAAATCATTGTATTCTTCCCCACGTCCTATTGCAAAAACTAAATACGATCATCTCATGGACTTAAAGTCAGTGATAGAACCAGACCACCACGTGTTTTATGATGAATAACCGTAAAATTACGTACATAGATTTCGAAAAGGCTTTCGACTGAGTCGAACATTGGGCAGATATACGGAACTAATAGTCAATATATATAACGAATTCAAAACAATAATTAAAGTATATAAAGGAACAAAATCAATACAAATAAATAGAGGCGTGAGACAGGGTGATGCAATATCACCGAAACTTTTCAATCAGGCTCTTGAAGATACTTTTAAAAGATTAGAATGGGAAGAAAAAGGTATAAAAAATTGTGGACAACGCTTGAACCATCTAAGGTACGCTGATAATATCGTATTGATAACTGATAAAAAAATTTATTTGAAATGATGAAAGCACTGGACGTAGAAGCTGGAAAGATAGGCCTTAATATGAATTACAGCAAGACCAAAACCATAACAAATACAGATGAAGACATTACAATGAGAATCGGACAAGATGAAATAGAACAAGTTCAGGATTATATATATCTTGGTCAAACTATAGAATTTAACAAAGAGAACCAAACAGCAGAGATAAAGAGACGAGTTAGACTGGCATGGGCGGCATTTGGCAAACTAAGCTACATTCTTAAAAACAAAAGATATCCACAGCATCTTAAGACCAAAGTATACAATCAATGCGTACTCCCTGGTCTTACTTATTGTTCCCAAACGTGGACCTTTACAAAAGCAAACATGGACAAAATCATAAAAACCCAAAGAGCAATGGAAAGACAAATGTTGCACATAAGACTAATAGATAAAAAAAGAAACGAGAGGATAAGAGAGAAAACAAAAGTGAGCGATGTTAGACAAGAAGTTGCAAAATTGAAATGGAGATGGTAGCGAGAGACAGAGAAGAATGGAAAAGGATTGGGGAGGCCTATGTCCGAAGATGGACCGAAGAAGGCTAATAAGATAGATAGAACCGTACGATAAGGAAAAAAAATAGCACTAATAAATAACTCTGTAAATTTTTTTCTTTGTTTGTAATACTGTTTTATAAATTTAATTTTATCAATTTGTATCTACTCAGGCTAATAAAATCCTTAAATGTGTTTAATAACTATAATTATTACATAATTTTACATCAAACATTAGTAAATTTTTTAAATGTAATAAATTTATCATTGACAGTTTTCAAATTCTTTAAATCTGCATAAATCAACGCTTTTTTGCTTGACCAATATCTGCCATGTTGCATTATTTGAACTATTAACACCTGCCATGTGTTAAATTATTAGTATGAACAGAATATAAAATAAGAACAAGGGGTTTGAATAAAAAGTTGCAAAGTTTTCTCCTTCTCCTGTAAAATTTGGGCTTCAGCACATAGCAGATATTACACGCGCAATGGCGATGTACATGATGTTGATTTCATAGGGATTGCTAAGTAAAAATGACCATAACTTGTTAAATACTCTGTATAGTAATTCAAAGCCTAATTTTATAAAAACAAGAATTATGAGAGAAACATAAATATGAAAAAATATACAGGGTGTCCCATTTAAAAAAATTGTATGTCTGTTATAGCACGTGTTATCACCCTATAGAATTCCACATATTTTTTAATTATGTATATAGATTCGATTTACTTTAAAGCAGAATCAATATTCTGACCTCTAATCAAACAAAAAAAGCAAGTTAACGAAAGTTGGTTTACCTTATCGTTCATAGTAGGAGTAGAAGTAGTTTTCTTTACGGGACTACTTGGTGTGCTAGTTTTAGGAGATATAGGTGAATGTGCTGCAGAATTTCTTTTTGTGTTCGGTAGGTTGTTCTTTTTCGGTACTGACTGTAATATAAAATAAAATTATATATAAATTAAACTTGTTTATAAATGTCAAAGAACTGATGTTTTGTCAGTGTCAAGGAATATCAAAATATGATAAATTATTGTAAAATTTCTTGCGCGTCATTGAATAGTAGTTATTATGGACTTTTTTCTGCGTTTGTAAAAACGTTGAACATTAAAAATTTGATTTATTGGCTTTACCTTATACAGATTCACCAACACAATCTTATATTAATACGTTTACATAGATTTTAGAAAATAAAAGCTTGTTTAGATTTACCTCTTTGTTCTCTCCTCGTAACTTTAAAATGTCGGTTCGGTTTTCTTCATTTTGTAAGCTATACGCATATTAGTATTGAGTATTATATGTTACGACGGTTATGACTTATCAATCAGTGAAAATAAAACAAGAATTTTGATGGTAATATAATTTTTTGCTGTCATTCATGTCTAAGCATGATTTACTACTGTCAAAAAATTGAAGTAACCATATTATCTTGAATATAGAAATTACTGCTTTGCAAAAAGTGATTCATTATTTTGAAAGGCGTGTAAAGAAACAAATTCCCATTTCTTTCAGACTCTTTAATCCTCCGGAAGTCGCGGTTGATCTGAGAGATACATCGAAAACATTTTAATAAATAAAACCGTAAAATAGTTACGAAACACAATTCAGATTTCTGCTTTAATCTGTGCTTTCTAAAAATTGCAAAGCAAAACAGACGTTGATAAATGTGTTAAAAGAGACGTGGGGAATCTAAAATTTGCATTCCATGACATGTCTTTTCAACTAAGCAGAAATAAGAGAGCAAATATTTGATTTCACGCAAACAGCCCCTATGTATCTGTTGATACATAGTTGATACAATAGGTCTCATCAGAACAGTAGTTATTCTAAGGTGTTCTCAACGTGAAAGATCAATATTTTTTTGTCTTTTAAGAAGCAACACCAAAATGGCTTCGATACGGACGCAATAGCGACATCTGATAATAAAACCGTAAAATAGTTTCGAAACACAATTCAGATTTCCGCTTTAATCTGTGCTTTCTAAAAATTGCAAAGCAACGTCTGTTTTGCTTTGCAATTTTTAGAAAGCACAGATTAAAGCGGAAATCTGAATTGTGTTTCGAAACTATTTTACGGTACTATTGTAAATGTTGTACCACTTGAGCATAGCAATATTGTTTGCAACAGTTGTTATAACCGTTTTACTAATCCTTTCGCTGATGAATTTGATTAAGTTTAGCTAAATCTAATAATATTAATATTAATATTATTATTATAATATAAGCGAGGGCAAAGGAACTAAGTCCCTATTATGCCCAAAAACAAAGAAATTCCATTTATCACCTACTAGTAAACAACAAAAAGTACAACTAAAAGAAATAAAATTACAATTTTTGGTTTAAAGGAAAAACAATATTTTAACTATAATATAAAACTGTCGAGTCTGTTTTTGAACGAGTTGGTAGAAGAAGCGGAGACAATGTTATCGTTGAGGTTATTCCAGCACTCAAAAACTCTATTTGGAAGAAAGTTCTGTCTTTGTCTTATAGAAAAATTTTCTTTCTTTAGTTTATATTGATGACCTCTGAGGCGTTCATCTTGGTTTATGATAAATATCTCATCGAGGTTTCCAAAATTGAATTTTAGTATTTTGAATGTTGTAATTAAGTCTCCACGTTGTCGGCGAAGTTCAAAAGTAGTTAGATTAGCCATACTAAGTCTTTCTGCATAAGACGGTCTTCTCGGTCCCAAAGAAATTCGAGTGGCTTTTCTTTGAACGTTTTCCAACAGATTCTTGTCTCGAACCAGATCGGGATACCACGTTGGTCCAGCGTATTCTAGTATGGGTCTTACGTACAAAGTGTAAAGTTTGCAAAATGATTGCATTGAAACTTCCGAAAAACACCTCCGAATAAGATACAGTCTGGATTTTGCACGTTTACAAATAGAGGTAATATGATCGGACCAAGTTAGGCTGCTGTTCACAATAACAACAAGATCGTTATACGAAAACACAGATTCTAATGGCTGCCCATTAACAAAGTACGGCACAAGTGGGTTATTTTTGGCAATTCGAAGCACTACACATTTTTCCGCGTTTAAGGGTAGTAACCACTGGGAACACCAAGTTAAAATAGAGTCCAAGTCCATTTAGAGGGTTAGCTGGTTTGTGTTTGGATTGGCATATATTTTTGTGTCGTCAGCGTAAAACGATATTTTACTTGAGACATAATAAGGAATATCGCTGGTGTAAACCGTAAAAAGTAGAGGTCCAAGGACAGAACCCTGAGGCACTCCACTTTCCACTAACCTGTCCTGTGAGAAAGATTCGCCAACTCTAACTTTGTAATATCGATCTGTCAGGAAATCATCTATCCAACGAAGTAAAGTACCGCGAACTCCGAAATGTTCTAGCTTATGTAGAAGTCTGCGCTTAGGTACTCGGTCAAAGGCTTTAGAAAAATCTAGATAAACAACGTCGACCGGCTGCGAACTGTTAAGGGATGAGGTCCAGTCGTTAACACAATGTAGGAGATTGGTTAGAGTAGAGCGACCAGAGACAAATCCATGTTGTTGTGTTGGAATAACATGTTCCTGGAGAAGGAATTTGGTCATCTCCTCGGAAATAATGGCTTCCATAACTTTGGCAACTACTGGCAGCAAGCTAATCGGACGATAATTGTTGGGGTCGAGTTTGTTGCCTTTTTTAAAAATAGGGGTAACGGAAGCTAATTTCCAACTAGGGGGTAAGGAGTTTTGGATGAAAGAGGTTTGCATAATTAACGTTAAGGGTATTGCAAGCGTGTCTGCGCACCTTTTTAACAGTTTTGGTGTTAAACCATCTAAACCAGGTGAAGCGGCCGTGCGAAGTTTAATTAAGTGTTGTTTGACATGATCCACTGTGAATTCAACTTGCTGTAAGGATGCGCCGACACGATTACAGTTAACAGCAGGTAGATAACCATCATTTAATTCTTTAGTAAAAACCTGTGAAAATGCTAAAGAGAGAGTTTCGGAAGATTCTTTGTCAGAAGAGCATAAAGTCTGGTTGGATTTTTGAAGTAGCGGAATGGAAACTTTAGATGTCATGGAGGAACGTATGTATTTATAGACTTTTTTAATGTTACCACTTTCAATAACGTTTGCTTCAAAATTTTGTCTTAGGGTTTTTAGAGATGTTTTTAAGTTATTTGAAAATCTGCGGTGGTTTTGGAAATCACTAAGAAGCCCGGTGTGTTTAAATTTTCGCCATAGATGTCGTTTGTGATTAATTTGTTTAATTGCTGTTCGATTTATCCAGGGTTTGAGGTTGTTTTTATAACTCTTACGGAAAATAGTATTTGTAGAAATTATATTGTGGACTTTATCGAGAAATGCAGTCCACATTAATGAGGGGTCGTTTAAGTCTGCAAAAAATAAATGCCAGTCGATTTGAGAGAGTTCAGTGTCAACTTCAGAAAAGACGGTAGTAGCATATGTTATAATGTTATTTTTGCGGGGTAATATTTGATTGAACTGGATGTGAGCCGTTATAACTGCATGATCTGACTTTCCTATGGGAGAACTGACTTCGAGAGATGAAATCAGCTGTTCGTCATTAATGAGCACTAGATCTAAAGTAGAAGGTTGGTTATTATTCCTAAATCTAGTAGGTTCTGTAATGAGTTGTATCAGGTTTGAATTTACTACAAAGCTTTTAAATAAATTATGAGCGTTTTCGGCGTCAGATAATGAAGTTATTGGCCAGGAGATCTCTGGGAAATTAAAATCTCCAGTAATGATAAGATTATCAAGAGATGATAGTTCTTCAAGTTTTGTGAAGAAAACATTATCGTGTGCAAGTAGTGTATTAGCTGGACGATATATACATACTAGATTAAGGCAAAAAGAATTTTTAGTAACAGATAAGTGAATTGCATCTATTCCAGTAATATCTATTAGCTTAAGGTTAGTTTTGAAAGTTGTGGTAATAATATTAGATAAATAAATGCATACACCGCCACCCACACGATTTTCTCTGTCTTTACGATATATGTATTGTATATCCATTTATATTAACAGAGGAGTCAGGAATTGTGGGTTTGAGCCAGGATTCGGCAATACAGATAATGTCTGGTTTAAGAAGTTGCACTGTGCATACAAATTCGTCAAACTT